TTAGCGAAGACTTTCTTGCAGAAGCCTGATCACATTTTAGGAAAGATGGTGAAATTATCATTGAGTGCAAATCCTCTTATACATTTGTTTGTTTAGTGTTAATACCAATTATTCTAAAAGTGAAGCGATATTGAACGGGGAAAATATTAAGGTTTAATTGTTGAACCATAAGCAAGTTTTAAGTTAATATAAAAGAATCATTTTGCATATTTGATTAGATAAAAATTCATAATAAATAGTTAAAAAATAGAAACTCTTATATGAGTTTTTGTTGGTTTAAAAAATATTCCAATATTAATTTAAAAATCTGAAAAATTCTATGTATGATTAGCTGGTCCAGTCGATTATTAAAACTATATTTAATACTATAATTTTATGTATGATATTTTATATAACAATGAGATAGCAAATACGTTAAATTAAAATAGAGAAATTGAACAATGACTCGATCAGTATCGTTAGATATAGTGGTTTAAAGGGGTGTCATAGGTAATGACTTTGTTTCTTCAATGCCTTAACTTCATCTTTGGGCAATCATTTTTTTCTTAATTGGAGTTGAAAGCAAGCATCCTGTTTGGCTGAATGTCGGAACTCAGAATTTCCTTAGTAATTAATGTTTGGTTTGCTTTAAAAGTTAAAAGTTAATGTTTGGTTTGCAGGGTTTTCCTTAGTAATTAATGTTTGGTTTGCTTTAAAAATATTAGTTACATTTCCATTTCAAGCGTGTTAGGTACTAGAGATTGTTTAGAGAGACCAAAATTTCCCTATTTCGTAGGAATTCAATGGAGTTATACACACAGTTGTCATGGTCGTCGTCACCATAAAAACAACGTTTTTGGCAAAGTCAATTTTTTTAAATAAATAAAAGTAGAAGTAAAAATAATAAAATGTTATTTTATTTAACAATTTATAATGTTGTTAATATTATATATATATATATATATATATATATATATATATAACAAAATATATAATTTAATACTTTATTATAAATTATATTTTAAATGACTAAAACTTAAATTTGTCCCTAAAAGATGGGGAGTTCTTCAATTTATTCTTTAAAAAAATATATTAAAATTAGTACTTTGACACATGATATATTATTCATTTTAGTTCCTAAAAGTTAGAGTCTTTCAATTTAATTCCTAAAAAATATGTATTAAATCAGTTCTTAAATTTGTAATTAATCTTTTATTTTAGTCTCTTATAATTTATTAATTAACTTTCAGAAAAGTAATAACATGTGTAATATGAAATGCTAATTAATTATTTCTTTTTAACCACATTACACTTTTAAAATTTAAGCTTAATATATTCAAAAAATATGAAAAAATTATAATTCTTAAAAATAAAAGTAAGTTGTGTATGAAATATAAAATAATAGGTTAAAGTATATATTTTACTTAATATTAAGGAAATCTATACTATAGTTCATGATTTTCTTGAAAATATTTTACATATTTATTTTTGATAAAATATAAATTGATATTATTTAAATTTTATAAATTATTAAAATTTATAAATATTCAAATTTTAGACTAATTATGACTTAGAGATGAAAATAAGTCAAGCTATTTAATAGAAACTTATAATCTAACCTTTTTAAAGTCTAGTTTTGTTTGACTTATTTAAGTAATAGACTTACTTTAAATTTTTAATAAACTTAATTAATTGAATAAGTTAAGTTTGAGCTTAAAAAAATATCTTAAGTTTAATAGAATAGTCTATTTAAGACTCATGAAATTTATATATAATAATATATTACATAATTTTATATTATATTAAATAAATTAAATTTTACAATAAATAAAATTTTAAATTAGAAATTTTATTGCTTTTCGTTAGAGTTAGAAATTATCTTTATTATATATTCTCTAAGGGAGGTAGAGCGCTGCTTGTTGAGTTAATTAATTATTTGATTTGAAAGTAATAAATAAAAATATATAATTTTATTACAAATATTCAAGGTGACAAACTATTTTTTTTTTCATGATATTTATAAAACATACCTATTTAAAATATTTGATAGCCTATTCATAAAAAAATTTAATGATCTATTAAATATTTTAATACAAAGTAGATCGTTAAAATAGTTAATAAGTCAAATTTGACTTTTAAAAAGGTCATTTGAGACTTAACCAAAAAAAAAATCTATGATAAATAATAGATCAAACTCAAGCTTCAACATTATCAAAATAAATCAGGCCTACTCATACAAAGTTTGACATAGTCTATTTTCATCCCTAATCATAATATCATATAAGAGATCATATTTTGTAACATTTAAAGAAAATATGAGTACTTATAATATAATTTTTTAATTTAACATTTTATGTTAATCATAAAAAATCAACAAAAAATTTACAATAAAAATAGAAGGGACTTGACAAAAATATGTTATGTTAAAAACTATATAAATTTTTTTTATTGAATTAACTAAAAAATTACGTAAAAATATTTAAAAGATTATTATTACGATGAATGAATTATCCTTTTAAAAGAGACTTTGATTATTATAGGCAAAATTATTCTTTTTGTCCCCTTAATTTTAAGGTAAAATTCACTTTCGTCCTCTAACTTTCTTTTTTTAGTTTATTTTAGTTCTCTAACTTTTAAAAAAATTTCAAGTAGGTTCTTTTCTGTTAAGGATCCTAACTCTGTTAAAAAGTTTTATTATTTTGTATCACGTGTATTATGCATTATTGTTCATCGTCTTCCTCCTCAGATTTAGGATCTTGTTTCCAACACCTTTTCTTCTCTTTTATTCCTTCTCCCTTACATCTTCATCTTCATCTTCTTTTACTTAAAACTTCATCTTCTTTCCACTAACACCAAACACCCACTCCCAAATCGCAAACCATAAATAACTTAAATTTCTAATAATTATTTTTCATCTCTTATAGATCTAAACACTCATTTCCATTTTTTATTTTATTGATATTTTATGCTACTATGACCTCTCAAGCCTTCATTAACAAGAATAATGTGTTCTGAAAGCTTAAAACACAATTGAAAGTTATTGGGTGGCAAAAGCAATGTCTGGACGCGTAGTAGATAAGTATAAGAGCCTTCTCACGGGATGCTTGTAGCTCTCTAAATCATGGTAAAAGTGTTCCCATTATTAATGAAGCGAATTGTTAGTGAGGCGAAGGCTCACAAGAGCTAGTGTTTAGGCCAGTTTGGACATGAGGAAGCTAGCCTTACTAAGGATGCTAAGACAAAATTGTCTCCGAGAGAGAAATACACCCATGAGAGAGAGAAAGTTCCAAGCTCTAAAAATAACGTAAAAGGCCAAGGTCTTTGATTTTAAAATGATGGTCCAGTCATTGCTTGATGGAATTAAATTCAGCCATAGAGTTACGTGAAACTACTGGAGATGAAAAATGAGTATTTAAAAAGTTGATTTATTTATGGTTTGAGATTTTAGGTTGGTGATTGATATTAGTGACAAGAAGATGGAGTTTTAAGTATAAGAAGACGAAGATGAAAGGAAGAAAAAAGAAGAAAATGTGCTAGAAACAAGATCGAAGATTTGAGGGAGAAGATGATGAGTAACGCATGTGACACACAACAAATTTTTTTAACAGAGTTAGAATCTTTAACAGAAAAAGACTTGATTGAAACTTTTTAAAAAATTAGAAGACTAAAATAAACTTAAAAAAAAAAGACGAAAGTAAATTTTACTTCAAAGTTAATGGACAAAAAGAGTAATTTTGCCATTATTATAATTACACAACTAACTAAATTATTTCATACGTGCATGATAGAATTGGTTAGTTAACTCTCACACAAAATGAGAACCTGATTCATAAAATGTAATATGACAGTTACCTTAATTAAATATTTTTTTAAGATACATAAAATGCAACATGGCATGCTAATTAATTTTTTTTATTTCATTACATTTAACGTATAAGACTCCTATCTATGTGAGTTAACATTCAAGAACTAATTAAAGATAAATCACACATTCAAGAAGTAATTTGAATATTTTTTATCTAAAGAGCTAAATTGAACAACTTTATGTTTTTAATTGTTTTAAATGTAATTTTCACTTTATTTAAGTTACTTAAAAATTACTTTTAATTAATATATAATAAATAATAATTATAATATTATTAAAATATATATAATTCATTACTTTTGTAATTTAATACAAAAGTTATGTTAATTCTTAACTTGTTTAAATATATTTAAAGTTAATTCTTACAATCAATTGACAGTAGTAAAAATTAACGTAAATATTTACTTTAACTTTCAAATTAACATATTCAGTGATATGTCACACTTAAAAAAATATTATATAACTTTTATGAAAGTAATTATTAATATATATATATATATATATATATATATATATATATTTAAATCTAACTCTTTTTCATAAAACTCTAAAATTGTGATTTTAATTCTCATTTGTTCTTGATATTTATTGTCTAACTTCCAATATTTATTTAATTAGTAAATAACATATGAAATTGACATTTGACATGTTATGTGAAATTTTTATTGTTATTATATTCATTAATAATAAGAATTAATGTAATAATTTTTTTAATGATTAAAACACTAAAGTTAGAGATAAAATTATATATATTATATAAAATTAAAAAATACAGCGGTAAATTACTTTTTTTTTCTTGTTGAGAAGTGAAACCTGAAATAAAACAGCATTAGTGGAGTATTCTTAAGATCCCTGAATCTGTGAGAGAAGAATTTGTGATAGCAACAGTTTATTTTATTATATTGGGAGGAGTTGGTTGAGGTGTGCACTAAGGAATGCTTTGAAATCACAGTACCTGACCAGTCAGAAACGAAATCATCCCACCACGTTTTGAGTTTCAGAACTCTGACAACACTAGAAATTGTGAGCAAACATGTTGCCCATTACTCTCCCCTTCCTTTACGCCACTTCCTCCTACCAAAACGAGACACATTTAAATCAATCACATTCACACCATATGCAAACACTTCCATTCCAAACAAAGATAACAAGTAAAATGGGTGTATCCCACAAATGGTTCAGAATTGTTCGTGCCAAGTTCCTCAGATCATCCAACAAAGACATAGTTCTCCCTCGCTCTAGCATTTCCACCAACCAATATGAAGAAGCAGCCATACTTGGGAATAAAACAACCACCGCGGAACACTACAATTTCCCCACACCAACAACTTCGCCAAACACCTTCACCCAGGAAGATGTCGCCGCAATTAAGATTCAAGCTTATTTCAGGGGACATCTTGTACGTAATCTTATCCCAACCCCGGATCATACCAAATTCGTATGACCAGTCATAGGATCACATTTTCTAACATTTTTTTACATCATTTTTATAATTTTGAATAAATTTGAATTAACAACTAAGAACATGTTTAAAAGAGTATGTTAAAAAAATATATAGCTAATATTTCAAAATTCCTGTAAAGGCGTTAATGTTGATAGAAATATAGTTGATTGGTTATTTGACAGGCGAGACGAGCATATCGGGCTCTGAAAAGCTTGGTGAAGCTGCAAGCATTGGTTCGCGGGGTGTGGGTGAGGAGACAATCGCGTATAGCAATGCAGTGTATGCACGCACTTGTACGATTACAAGTCAGGGTTCGTTCTCGACAGCTTCTTGGTAGCTTCAATAAGGATTAATGAATCACTAATTTACAAATAAAGTTTGATTTTCTGTTGATGAGCATTTGGTGACTTGTAATATTCTACTTAAGGTGTGTTTGGAAAAATTTTATGGAAAAATTATTTGAACTTATAAAATTAATTTATAATTTTTTATGTTCAAATTAATACTTTGAATTAATTAAATTGTTTATTCAAATATATATTTATTGTAGGATCTCCACAAAATGACTCCACACACAAAATTAACATTCCATGATCAATCTTGTGTCTTTAAGCTTCTTGCATCTAGTCTTGCATTTCTTAACATTTACAGGTGAATCAGAATAGTTGGGTGCAGGAAGTGGATGAGAGGACATGTTTATTATACGAGAAATTTAAGTGGGAATCGAAGTACAATGCAATTGAATCTTGTAAGAGTAGAAAGTGGAAACAACAAACTCGGTGGATGTTTGGTCAGTCTTCAATGAAACCAAAAGTAGTATGGAGATCAATTGGCAAGTGTCCCAAATTGTAACAGTGGTCTAAATTTACATTAACGTTGTATCATCTCATTGTTAACTAACACCTCATTGGATTTTATTTGATTGAGTAGAAACATTCATTCATTCAAAAATATATATAATACAGGCATTGAGCCAATCGTAGAGTTGTTATCAATCATTATGTTATGTATTATTTTTACTATTTGTTTGTTAATTATCATTATTACAGCTATCATTTTTAGCTTATTATACCATCCTATCTTGCATGTAGCATTTTGTCATTTGGATATTTATACTTTATTCTTGTATCACTTCAAATATATATTAATAATTAAAAAAATAGACTTTGTCTAACAACTTTTTATTTTTATCATTTCATAACTTCTGCATTTGAATTAAAGGAACTAGTAGAATTCAATACTACCACTCAACTTCCCATCAAGCTCAATTCTTCAAACTATCTTATCTAGCCCAAACAAATCAATTCTTTTTTCATTCGTCGTGATCTTGTGAGCCATGTCACTGGCAAAAAATCTTCTCTCTTCCAAAAAAAAAAAAAAAGAACTATTGACATGATTCTGCAACCTTTAATTCTAAGTTCTCTTTATAGACTCACCAAGATAAACTACTTTATCTTACTCTTTTTGATTTTTGTGATCCTAAAGCACGTTATGTTATGTCCTCTATTGACATTTTCCATGATACTGGACTTACTCTTCAATGTGTCTTCTCCAATACGGAACATCTCAACTTTATCTATAAGGGCATGTCTTTTGTTTCTTGCTATCTGCAATCCATTCGGTCCATTGCTGATGAATTAGCTTTCATTGGACATCCTCTTAATGACCTTGACTTGGTCATTCATGCCTTAAATAGTTTGGCATTGTCTTTTCGAGAAGTTATTGCTTTTATTCATATTCATGACTCCTTAATTTCTTTCAATAAACTGTATGACAAGTTGGTAAACTATGAAATGTATCTATAATGTGAGGAGAGTCATCCTACTCCTATGCTTGTGACAACAAACACTGCTCAGCATAATGATACTAGATGAGAATGCTATTTCTCACAATAACAAGAAATCGTCCACAACTATTGTACCTCTTGTTTGTTAATACTATGACAAGACAAGTCACTCAACTAAATGTTGTTGTAAAATCTATGGCTGTTCAAACAAGCCATGCACACCATCTGCTAATGCAGCACACCTAATTACATCTAGTCCTTTATCTCCTCTGATTGGCTTATTGATTTCAAAGCATTTCACCACATTACTAATGATCTCAACAACCTCTCTATCAAGAGTGATAATACAGGAAATGATCGTCTACAAGTTGTCAATGGTAATAACCTTCCTATTATATACATTGGTTCTACCACTATTTCTACTTCTACTCCTTTGAAACTACACAATACTATATATTTTCTCATTGTTACACAAAATTTGATATGTTTCTCAGCTATGTCGAACTAATAAAGTCTTTATTTAATTTTTTCCTTGGCATTTTGAGGCGAAAGACATACACATGGAGGATATACTTCTACAAGAGTTGAATGAAGATATTGTATACAAATTCTCTCTAAGGTTACTCACCCTTCAAACTTCTTTTGTCATGACAATCATCTCTATTCATTTTGGCATCATTGTTTTGGCCATCCAGCTTCTTATGTCTTTCATCGTGCTCTCAAGACTAACAACATTCCCTCTACTGACAACTTTAGTAAGGTCGTGATTGTCTTTCAAATAAAAGTCACAACTTACCTTTTTCTAGGTGCACTATATCTAGTAGTTGTCTTTTAAAAATTGTGTACTCAAATGTTTGGAGTTGTGCTCCTATTTATTCAATTGATGATTTTTATTATTATATTATATTTATTGACCGTTTTTCAAAAGGTGTGGATTTATCCCATGAAATTCAAATTTAATGTTTCTCTCCTATTTTCAATATTCAAAAATATGGTGAAAAGTCAATTCAACACAAAAATAAAAACCTTCTATGGTAACAATGGTGGAGAATTTTTAGAACTTTACACTTTTTTCCAACAACATGGCATCACCACTTAACAACCCCACCACACACACCTAAGCATTAGCCTTTGTGAATGCAAACACTGTCACTTGACTAAAACTTTTCATTGCCTTATCAACCATGCTTACCTTCCATTTTAGTTTTGGCCTTATGCCTTTTAAATTTCAGCATACCTCATTAATCGCCTATACACCCCTAGCCTAAACATGACCACTCCTTATAATATCTTGTCTCATCAATCACCCAACTACCCAAAATTAAAAACTTTTGATTTTGTATGCTTTCCTTAGCTTAAATCTTATGCAAATAATAAATTGGAACAACGATTCGAATCATGCATTTGTTATAATTTTAAAATCCACAAAATTTTCACACGTTTAGATTTTTAAAAAAAAATATTTTTTTCATTCTTGTCCTCTTTTACTTTCCCACCTATCTGTACAAATACTCTAGGACCCTCGCCTCTTTCAAATTTTGAACAATCACCACCTTTATTCCTTACCCCTTTAACTAATATCCTTCCACTTTCAAATGTTCAATCCTATGAACCACCACCTACACTCACACCACTTAACCATCACCAAATCCTCCCACAAACTTACCACACCCCCAATTCTCACCTACATCCCCAGTACCTATAATCTCTGATAACATCTCACTTTTTCATCAATGTACACATCACTTTCAACTCAACTTCTTCTAGTCACAACTCCTAACTCAGTTAAATTGACTCACCCTGTGATTACTCATGAGAAGGCCGACATATCTAAACCAAAAAAGTTATTCTTAGTCACCAAATATTTACTCCCACTGTCTATGGAATCTAATGTATACTAAGGCCCTTTACCATATTGAGTGTAAACATGTTATGTCAGATAAATTTACAACTTTAATGAAAAATGACACTTAATATGTTGTTCCTCCTCAACCTCACTATGACATCATTGGCAACAAATGAATTTTTCGATTGAAAAGAAATACAAATAGTTCCATTGCTTGCTATAAGTACGATTGGTCGCTAACGATTTTAAGGACTTTAAGGAAACATCTAGTCCTATCATTAAGTCTTAAACCATTAAACTTGTACTGTATATTGCTATATCGAAGCATTGAACTCTTAGTCACATGGATCTCAACAATGCCTTTTTGAATAATACATTAATTGAGGAGGTCTATATGTCTCAACTTACTGCTTTATTCATCAAAATTTTTCAAATAATGTTTGCAAGCTTCATAAAGCTTTATACAATCTCAAGTAGGCTCCTCATTCATGTTACAATGAACTCACTTCTATAACTCAAGGTCTGATCCATCTCTTTTTATCTACAAGAAAGGTATTATTATTTTATATTTCTTAGTCTATGTCAATGGCCTTCTATTTACTAGAAATTTTCTTCTCAGTTTCAAGAATGCACTTGCTACAAGAATTTCTCTTAAAGACCTTGGAACCCTAAGTCATTTCCTTGGTGTTGAGCTTTTAATAACATTATATATGTGAGTTATTACCAAAGATTACCATGATTGATGTTATGCATGTATGCACACCAATGTCTACTACATGCTTGGTTTGGTTCCTAATGTTCTGACATGTGATCTTTCCTCTTACTGCAACATTATTGACTTACTACATTATTTATCTATTACTCGTCCAAATGTAGCCTTTGTTATTAATAAGCTCTCACAATCTATGAAGACTCTTACTGTTGTCCATATGCAAGCACTTAAGCGAGTTCTTTGTTATCTGAAGTCTAAAATATCACATCAGTTTCACTTAGTTCCTACAAAATGTCTTACTCTCGATGCCTTTTGTGATGTTGACTATGGTGGAGACACAAATGATAGGATCCATTGGTGCATACATAGTTTATCTTGGCCCAAATGCCATTTCATGGTCCTACAAGAAACAATTCACAATTGCTCACTCTTCAATAGAGGCTGAATATTGCATCATAGATTTAACCACAACTAAACTTCTTTGGTTACAAGTAGCCTTGCATGAACTTAAAGTTGATATTCAGCAATCACCAACTATCTTAAACAACATTGGTGTCACAATTGGGCGATCGCAATGATATGACAAAAACTTATTAAGAAAAACATCTTTTAGGAATAAAATGTTTCTAAAAAAAAATCAAAAGAGTCACCACCAAAGTTTATTAAAGAAAACATTGGAAAACTTTGAAAACTAATCTATGAAACCAAAAACAAGTTTAGGAGTCGTTTACGTGTAAGAAAGATATTAGCACCATATAATATCTATTTAAACAATGGTTAATTTAAATTATTGTCCAAATTTATTTTAATTTTAAAAAATATTTGTTTAACCCTAAACAAAAAGTGTTGTTAGTTTTATTTTTAAAGGAAAAAAATTTATTTATTGAAATATTAATTGGTATCTTTAGGAAAGGAAAAATATATATTTTAAAAATTGCTTTGACTTGACGAGTTTGTCTCCAACTCTTACGTATCCCTAGGTACAATGAAGAACTCATAGTCACGTAGT